CCCCGCCGCTGGTCTGGAGAGCGGCGGGCTCGCTGTCGCCGTTGGTCCAGCTGTCGCCGCCGATGTCACAGCAAGTTGCACTGGCCTGGCTGTCGGCGTCGACGCACTCCTGCCGCAGCGCCCTCAGCCCGCCGTGCACCGCCCCCAGGCACGCCTGCAGCCGCCCCACCCGGCCCTGCAGCGCCGCGGCCTCGCGGCGCGCCGCCTGCGTCTCGTCCACTGACATGACCAGGCAGTCGCGCACCTGCCGCGCGCCCTGGCACTTGAGCGCCACCTCGTGCCGCAGCTCATCACACTCAGCGCCGGCCAGCCGCGCCGCGTCCTCCCTGGCCCGCACCTCCGCCTCCAGCTGCTGCACCTGGGCCTGCAGCGCCCGCTGCTGGCCCCGCAACTGTTTAATCTCCTGCTGCTGGCGCTGGCTCTGCCCCAGCATCTGCCTCATGACGCTCTCCTTGTTTGCGACCTGCTGCTTGAGCGCCGCCGCCGCCTCATCCCTCTGCTGCAGCTCTGCGCGCCGCTCCGCGGCCTCGGCCTCCTGAGACAGTCGGCAGCGGGACCAGTGGGGAGGCGCACGTGCGGAATTGGACAGTGCAGGTTGCTTTGTTGCTGCTTCCACAGTTGTGCATCCGATCCAAGCGTCTAATTCACCGATTCTGCTCAAGCAGTGCGCTCAGGAGGTCGTCACCCGCAAGCCGGTGACATGCATTGAGGTCCCTGGTTAGTGCTGCTGGACCCTTCACCCCCAACCGCTCAGCCCTGGACCCCACCCCGCGCCCCTCACCTGCGCCGCGCATGCCTCCAACATGTCCTCCCTGCCCGCCATCAGAACCCACAGCTCGCCGTGCCGCTCCCCCGCCTCCCGCTCCAGCTGCGCAAACGCAGGGGAGCGCCGTGCCTCCTCCAGGGTGGGTCGCCGGGCGGGGTCCGGGTGCGCCAGCCGGGCGATGAGCGCCTTGAGGTCGCTGCAGGAGGGGGGCAGCGACCTCCAGGCTGACCTGGACATAAAGATTGAGGGGAAGTCCGCGATGAGCTCCTCCTCAGTCACCTCGGGCCCGTCGCCGGCGCCGCTCGTGGGGTCGCCCGGCACGCAGCCAGTCAGGACCTGTCGGGTGGTGGTGCGCAAAGTCGAGATCTTTGTATCGACATTTGTGGGTGAACGCTGAAACGCTGCGGTAAGCCCCTGGGGTGCGTGTCGCGTCTGTATCTTGGAGGCAAGCCAAGGAATGGCGCAGGCGACTACACAAGCGAGTCGTTCAGCCGTGATTGAGACGGCGCCCACGCCGTGTGCCACCTCGCACCTCCCCAAATATGACCGCCACTGCATAGGCGTCCCACTTGGGTGTGGCCGCGGCGTTGCCACCCAGGTAGTGCTTCTGGCATAGCAGGCAGGTGGCGCCGGTGCAGAATCGGAGGGGGCGGGAGAGGTTCATTGTCGTGCAAATTGTAAATTTGAACAGGAGACCTGCCCTCTTCCTCAACGGCTGACCTTGGAATGCGGCAGCCCGCTCGCTCCCCATGCCCAAAGGCAGCGGGCCGAGGGCAGACGCTGCCCCCTCGGCGCATGCATGCTGTGGCGGTGCGCCTCACCTCAGGGGGCACGTAGCCGGGTGTCGAGGCGTGGCAGCAGCCGGTGTCGTCCACCGAGCCCATGTCCACCAGCCTGGGCAGCACCCTGCGCGCCAGGTTGTCAAACTGCAGCACCACCTGGTCGGGCTTGCCGTCCAGGTACACCAGGTCCTGGGGGGCCGGCCGAGGTTGGGGTGGTGGGTCGGTCGGGGCGTTGGTCGGTTGTTTGGTTGGTTGGGTTTTGGGATCAATGACGAATCAGAGTTAGGCTCCAGGGAGTCCAGCTTGTGAGTCGCGCAGCTGACGCGCACACAGGACATCCGCTTGAGCCAACAGAGACGGGAACGCCGCAACACATCAATATCAGCCACGTGCAAGCCTGCTGACTGCTTGTGCTGGTGCGCGTGTGAGATTTCCACCGTCACCCCCACCTGCGTGTGCATCCAGCCCCAGGTCAGGATCAGCTGGTATGCCACCTCCTGCGCCAGGAGGGCGCTGAGCTTGTGAGATGCCGGGTCTGTTGGCTTGCGCACGTAATTCAACAGTGGCCTGCGGGTTGGCAGGGGTAGCGGTCCGGGCGGAAGGAAGCTTGGGGGAATGGGGTCGAGGGTGTTGCTTGACGCAAGGGGAAGCAGCGTGGAGGAGCTCTGCTGGAAGCAGGGTGGGCCGGAGGGTGGGGCGTGCTCAAGGGGCGCGGGCATTTATGTGAATCAGTGCTGTGCGACCGTCTCAGGTCCTTCAAGAGGCCTAAGGGCACAGGCATCTGGCGCTCAGCACTGCTGGTTGCTGTGGCAAGGGCCAAGCTGCATTGGCTCCTGTGCGGCCGCCACGGCAACTTGCAATAAAACGCCCCCCTGCACCCGCTCTCTCGCACCGCGTCGTCCAGCCGCCCCTGCCCTCCGCGGCGCCCGCTGGCCCCCTGCCAAGGGCACGCGCCAACATTTCCGCGTGCTGTGCTCACCGGCCTGCGTAAGGGAAGACCAGGTAGATGAAGGCCTCGTCCTCGTAGCACCCCGTCAGCGGCACGATGCCGGGGGGCAGGCGGCCGCGAAACACATCGTGGAAAGACACCTCCGCGCGCACCTGCAGGTGCATCAAGGTCGGGGTGCGTCGTGGGGATGGCACTGGCTGTGCAAGTGAGGTTGAGCGCGCAAGCTCGTTTGGTTGGCACTGCCCGCGAAGCCCCCAGCACACATGTGAGCTTGGTCTGCGAGCTTCCTGTGAGCCTGCACGTGAGAGCCGGCGCCGCACGCACACAAGCAAAGCCAATCTAGGGCGCAAAAGTCCAGGCCTGGCCAGCTCCCCGGCACCCCCTCACCATGCGCTCCACCCAGTCAAACGCGCGCAGCTGGGCCTTGCAGTGAGCCTTCACGACGTACTGCTCGTTGTCGGGGCCGACGGACGGGGTGCGGAACACAAAGGTGTGGTCCCCATAGGCACCCTTGAGGGGGGAGCCCTGCTGCCACCGCAGCAGCTGCCGCAGCCAGTCGGGCCTGGAGTGTTGTTTAGCAGAGGTAATAATGTAAAAGGGTAAGACCTGGGCCACAGAGGAAGAGCGTGTGAGCGTCGCGGCGGGCAGGCACGCAAGCAGGGCAGGCGGGACGCGGCAGGTGCGCAAGAAGCGCCAGCACGCGGCACCGCGCGGGATCCGTCTACAAGGATGTGAGCTGAATACAATGTAACCCTTATATGAGAGTTACTGGTCGCTCACGGTGGCGTGGGCATGGCGGACGTGGGTCGCGAGTCTGCGGGAAGGGAACACTCGGAGCTCGTTGAGCTCTCCATGGCTTTGAGATATTACTTGCGTGGACACATATGATGTTTTAATGTATGGGGGCGTCGTGTGAGAGGAAAGGCAGTGAGTTTGCAGGTTGAGCAGCCGGCGGGTTCAGGACGAGCAGCTAGCCAACTCGAACTGCAGGCACCTTCCACCGCAACCACCCCGGCACCTCCCCCCTGGCTTGGCTTTGTCCGGACGACTCCGTTCAGCTGGCTTGCACATGAAAAATTGAAGCAGATCGGCTTCAAATCTAAATTCCCGTTGTGCAAGCCAGCTATATACGCATCATATCTGATCATACTTGCAACAAAACCCCAGGGATTTGCTGCCAGCAGTGGCTGGTTCGCCGCCGTCCTCGATGCGATATGGCGTTACAGCCTGGACTTGACGAGACTTGGGCCTGAGCACGAACGTTGCGCATCCTTCCCCGGGCAAGGGGGCTTCATCCCTGAAGTGTGCATCCCCAATGCCCTTTGCAATCGTCCGATTCTGCACAAGGTCGCCAAAGATAAATTAGAGAATTGCATTCCATGACAGCGCCAGTAGGCGGTCAAAGGACATGAGCGCCAGCAGGCCTTCATCGCGCCGACGCACTGCAGACACAGAGCAGCCAGTATTCAGGGGCCGACCCGCTCAAGGTCACTCCTCTGCCATCCCAGCTGCCAATTCTTGCGCGCCGATTAGGTGCTTCGCACCCTGCGCCACCCCTGCAGGCCCGCCGCCGCGCGCCCGCTTGGCGCCAGGCCCCCCGCCCTCAGGGCTGAACGGCGCGCCCGCCTCTGCATGCGGCTGGCGCCGCTTGAGGCCTGCCGCAGCTTGCGCCTGCTGCTGTTGCTGCTGTTGCTGCTGTTGCTGCTGTTGCTGCTGCTGCCGCTGCTGCTGCACAGGTGGACGCAGCAGAGGCGCCACGAGCGCCGTGTCAATGATGAATCCGAGAAAGCTGTAGCTGATCCTGTCGCCCGGCCGCAGGCTGGACAGGTACAGATGCCATGCTAGCGCCCAGGGCGGCAGGCAGGCCTGACCGCGAGGTTTCAAGGAGCAGGAAGGCGGAGAGTTACGGGAGGGAGCGGCATATGACATCGTCCGGCGCTGCAACGGACGTACGCAGCAGCGGACAGCGCGGCTGCGCTGGGCTCCGACCACACCGGCTGCAACGCACGTCATTGTCCTCGTGCAGACGGGCCGTCCCGACCCTAAAGCCTGCTGCGCGCGGGCGCGCGGGCCGCGCACCCTTCGGATCGCCAGGTCCCTGGCCAGCTCCTGCTCGGCCGCCGCCTGCGCCAGCCGCCGCGTCCCAAACTCGCCGCTCCCGCCGGCTTCACCCTTTTGCTGCTCGCCGCCGTCGCCGTCGGCGCCTGGGCCGTTGTCGCAGACCCAGGGCAGCTGTCCAATTTGCAGTTCCAGCAGCGTCGAGCCGAGCGAGTGGAGGTCGTCCACCGCAGACAGCCGGCCCTGGCGCAGCGCGTTGGCCGAGCTGGAAAGTGGGAGGCAGGCGGGCGCCGCAGGGTCGGGTGCATGTGGGACGGGTTTAGGGGGTGGTGCGGCGAGGGCGAGGGAGGGGGGCAGGGGCGAGCAATGCCAGGTGCAGCCGCATGCGCGGGTGGTGGTGCTGCCACTTCATCAGCACTCTGCTCATGAGACTCTCGGCTCTTCGTGCGCTTTGCGATGGCGCCAGCTGGACCGACATCAGCCAGTCAGGCCTTTGCCTGGGGTAGCCAGCAGCCGGCAGCGGCTGATTTGCCCTCACCTGTAGTCCTTCGTCCCGTAGAAGACCCTGGGCTTTGCTGCAAACAAGGAGGGCGGCGCATGCAGGCACGCGGCAGGGGTACAACGAGGAGACTCTCAGAAGGGCAGCTGCCTGGTGCTTGCTGAGAACAACCCAAGAGGCCAAGCGGGCCCGGCAGGACGGCTGGGCTGTCGCAGGCATCGTTCACACCATGACCTTGCACGGTTGGCCGCCTGCATGGGCTGCCAGCAGTGCCGTATTTCATGCAATCATGCTCGCCGCCGCGAATCCGCCCCTGCTGATTCATGCTCGTCACCTCATCCCTGCAAACTCTCCCCCTCACCTGTGCCGTCCTTCATCACGGCCGCCAGCCCCAAATCGATTACTAACACGGGCGGAGGGACGACGCCCTGCGCGGCCGCCATCCCCGCCGGCTTGGCTGGCGCGTGCGCATGCACTGGTGCTGCGCGCACTGTGACGGCCGCCGCGTCGCCGGGGCGCGCGTTCTCCTTGCCGGCCGCGCCCCCGCCCCCGCCGCCGCATGCGCCGCCGCCGCCAAACGCTGCGATCACCGCCGACGGCAGCAGCTGCAGCGCGCCCCTCACGCCTGCGGCGGGCGCCGCGGCAGCTGCTGGCGGGACTGGGGCCTTGCGGGCGGCGGCGGGGCGCCTGGCGACGACTGGGTGCCTGGGGGGCGCGGGCGCAAACGCCGCGGCGGCGGACGCGCGTGCGGGGGCGGCAAGGGCACGGTGGGGGAGAATCAAGTTTTCTGCCTTGATGTCCAAATGCAGGACTCCCTTGGAGTGCAGGTACTGCAGGGCCTGCGCAAGCGTGTTGGTGATGAGAAGTTGTTAGGCTTCACAAGAGGGGCCGGTGATGAAGCCAGGAAGCAGCTGGAATGGCGCGCCAACAGTTGCGTTGAGCAACGTGCGGGGTGATGCGCCTGGGAGACCCTTGCGGCTTGAGAGGATATCTCAAAGCGAGGTTTGGACTGCACGATCAACAAAACCGCCGCCGCCTCCATCCACGATCCCACGCTCATCCCTGCCCGCAGAGACCCCACCCTGAGAGCGCCCCTGCCGACAGCCACCAGCTGCGCCGCGCCCTCGCCGGCGCCCGAGTCCGCCTCAACGAAAGCGCGCCCTGTCTCGCGCGCCGACCACAGGTCGCGGCCCAGCAGCTCCATCGCCATCCAAGTGCAGTGGTGCGACGCCGCCGCACCCGGCGGCTGCGGGCCCGACGCGTGCTGGTCGTGCGGGGCGGCAGGACGGGCGCCGCGGGGAGGGGCGGGTGGGGGGCCCACCACCACCAGGTGACCTGTGGTAGTGATGTTGGGGCGTCAATGGGACTGGGGCGGGCGTTCATTGATCAGGTGTGGCGGCTAATACAGAACAGCTGAACGGCAGGTGCACCGAAACACAAGCCTGTGCTCCCCCAATGCAGGCCAATCAAGCCGGCCCTCCCGCCCGCGCCGCACCGCAGGCGTGGACGAGCGGCAGGCCGCAGCGGCGCGCCGCAGTGTCGGCGCCGGGCGGTGCGACCGCGCCCAGGCGCAGGTACATGTCGTACTCGCGGCGCAGGCGCGAATCCCTGCCCGATGGATGGCGGATATGTGGGACGACGAGCTGGCAGTGCAACAGGTGCTTACCTTCAAACTGGCCTGCAGGCAGGCGTGGCACAGTGCGTGCATATAGTGGCAATCCGCTGCGCGCCACACGGCACTTGAGACTTTTGACCTCACCGCGCCCTCTGCGGCCCCACCTCAGTGCAGCCTTGATGTTCTCAGCAGTGGCTTGTGTTGGCGGCAGGCGGGAGTCGTGCTGTGTGCATGTCACCTCCAGCTTGACGGCCACCTGGGAGATGCAGGGGTTTGAGGGGTAGGAGTGGGTGGGCCGCTCCAAGTTGGTGGGGCAGGGGCGGTATGGTGACCAGTGCAAAAGCGCCCCGATGTGAGCCCGCATGCCGCTGGCTTTGCTGCTGTAAGGCGAGCCAAATGTTGCGTCCCCACCCTGCATGGCTATATTGCCCCATGGTGCGCCATGCCACCACAAGCTGCGCCGTGTGGCCCCATGCTGCGCCATGCCGCATCATGCGGCCCCATGCGGCAGCGTCCCACGCAATGTACAGTTCAGCATGCTATGCCATGCAACCTGACACAGCTGCGCTCTAATGGCCGCAGCAGCACCACCTTTGGGTGCATGGGGTGCAGCAGGTCGACAGCTTTGTACACCGCACCAAAGCCGCCAGCTCCCAGGCAGCCCTGTGCACCAGAGTGGAGCGAGGCGCAGCGAGGTGGTTCGCGGGGCGCAAGTGGCTGCCGAGCGCCGTCTGTACGTCTTGCGAGCGCTTTGCGATGCGCGAGCACCAGTTGACACCGGTGCTGCACAACAGCGGAGTCGCCCGTCACCTGTATCTCATATTGATCCTTGAGGACAAAGCCCTGGTGTAGCTGCACCCAGTTATCGTCCCCGTTACACCCAACTGTGCCGTTTGCCACGGCGGCGGGCGCCAGGGCGGGCACAGCGGGTGCAGCTGCTGAGCCCGCCTGCGGGCTGTGCAGAGCCTTAAAATCCTGTGCAACTGTCGAGCCTGCCTCCCCTGCCAGTTTATCCATGATAGGGAGCCCGAGATCTGAAAACCAAGTTTGAAAGCGTGGGCTCGTCTGCACGTCTACGTTTCGTTATGGTACAAGCATTGCGAAGTCGGTCATGAATCTGACATGGATGTGATCAATGCGAAAGTGCCGCAGCTGGTGCTCAGGTTTGCGATGCTGACAACACAAGCATCCGGGGTGCCAACCCCTGCAATGCACCTGCCCGCATGCCGGCAAACCCCAACCACACGGACCCTCTGCAAGACGAATATGAACCATTTGGTGTTACCCAGTTGCATGACACGCCTATCAGCATGATGTACCCTATCAAACAAGGTACACATGATTCGGCAAGCGTTGGCGGCGGAGGAGTGGGGGTGCGCTGACACCTTGTGCAACCTGCCAGGTAGCTTATGATGCTCAGCTCAAAATCGGAGGTTTGAGCCGTGCAACCTCGCCTGTGCTACCTGCAATGAGCTGTTCGATACAAGGAATTCTGGAGAGCCGGTGTCCAGCATGTTGGTTTCCACTTCGAACGCTGCCAGCACTTCACCCAGGTGGCGGCGGCCCTCGGCCGCAGATGAGGCTGTTGCTGCCCGCACAAGCCGCGAGATCCATGCAGAAGCATAAAAAAGCGAAGCTTTGGAAGAAGGCAGCCGCACCCTTCCCTTTGAGACACACGAAGCCAATCACTAAGCAGTAGGTGGCTGCTATGTGATTGCAACGGGGAGGAGGGGGTAATATCTGCCATGCCTATTGAGCGCAAACCTTGGGATCATACCGCGCCGTTGCTTTGCAGACCGTTCTTGTTTCCCAATAGCGCTGCGCCAGTTGGGTGGTTGTGCAACTCTGACACCCTGAGCCAGGTTCGTCGAACCCCAAAACATCATGCGCTGGATCCTGCAGTGCCACCATTACAGAGTCAGGTTGTGTCCAGCCCCCAGGTGGTCGGGGTGGTGTTCACGCCAGCCAGCATGCATCAACTCGAGGAACAGAACAAGCCAAGCACAGCTCAAATATCAACGGGTGCATCCAACACACCAACACAAATGCCCAGTGCCTCGCAAGCTAGGGGACCAGGGCCGAGCTGCAGCAGTCTTCAGTGGTCCAAGCCTCACTTGTTGCGGGGGAAGCCCTGCGTGGGGGAGGCAGCAGAGGGGGGCAAGCCTAGTGAAGGATGGGAGGCGCTTGTCAGCAGCGGCCAAGCTTCCGCTCCAAAATCAGTGCCACGCTCCCCGCGCTATAGAAGCGGCAACCATGATGTGACATGCATACCCTTGCGTTCAACCGCGCAGGCAGCTGGACGCTTAAAGCCGGGGCGTTGCGCCACCAAACAGCCGCTCACGCGCACCTTGCTGCCCTCCCACTCGCCGACGTTGAGCTCCTGCGCGGCCAGCGCATCAAGCACCCAGCGTGCGCGGCCGCCCTTTGGCCGCACCAGCTGCGCGGGCAGCGCCCCGGGCAGGGCTTGCACCTGGGGGGGGTGGGTGGGCGCATGAGCGGGCGCGGCACGCAGGATCGACGGGATTCTAAGCCTAGGCTCGCGCCGGGCGCTCGGGGTGAATAAAACACGTCAGACATAGCTGCTGCTCATTCCGACAGAGAGCCGCAGAGGGCCAGTCAGAGGGCGCGCAACGGGGGTCATAGTGACTCTGACACTCATGCCGGCGCCGCCGCCCCCCCACCCCATCTTCACCCCTCGCCTCACCTCAAGAACGCGCTGCACAATCTCGGACTTGCTCTCGCCCACGGCGACGATCAACACGTCCTTTGCGGCGTTGATGACCTGCCGGCGCGAGTGCGGCGGGCACGGGGATTAACTGGTTGAGCGGCCGGGCCACAAGCAGCCGGGTGCATGAACGCAGGCGTTGGGACCTGACAAGATCAGGGTTCATGGGTTGTTAGGGAGCAGCTTGGCGGCCCACAGGTGCCGCCTGCGACCGCCAAGCTGCAGGGCGCCGCGGACCGCGGGGACAGCCGAGCCACTGGCACAGGCGGG